TATATATATATAGTTTAGATATTAAATATGAATTGGCATGTGGTTTTCTGTTTCTTTACATAGGTTTCAGCTAAAACATCACTATTTATATTTTTAACCTCTTGACCATATTAAAAAAAAAAAAAAAAAGAACCAAATAAAAAATACGACAGAAATCTGATAAATTAAACCTATCCACCAAAGATCTACTTACGCTACCTTTTTCCGTCTACTGCAATATTACTTAAACCCAAATCTCCCAAACTCTTCGCAAACTAATCATCCTCACGCGAAGCCATTTCCCCCCATATAAATACCTCCACATTCTAACATCAAGTCATTACCCACAAATGGAGCTTGGCGACACCTACTCGCCGGAGAAGAAACTAACCCTCGTGGCCCTCCGCCTCGCCATCCTCGAGAAGGCCGCCAGCGGCGTCGGCGCGCTCGGCTTCATATGGGCGACGGTCGTTCTCTTGGGAGGCTTTGCGATCGCTCTCGAGCGCGCCGATTTTTGCTTTGTGACGGCTATACTGCTGGTGGAGGGGGCTCGGATATTTAGCCGGAGCCATGAGCTGGAGTGGCAGCATCAGGCCACGTGGTCGCTCGCGGAGGCCGGTGCGCTAAGTTTTCGCGCCATTCGCTCGACTTCTCGCAGCGCCGCGCGAGCGTTTTGGTTCCTGTTCTCGCCTTTTGGTCGGAGCCCGTCTGTTGCAGAGCCGCCGACTGCTGTGCTGCCGGTTGCGGTGAAGGGTCGTCGGCGGAAGTCATCGGAGGTGAACAAGTTGGCTGTTTTTGGTATTTAGAAGAGTTTGGACGTTGAAATTGAGTAGATTTTTTAATTGTTATTTTTATTTGAAATTTTAATGTGAAAATGAGGAAAAATTTTACCAGAATATAATATTCTGATTAAAATTTAATTCAAGAAACAATGAATTATACAATTTTTTTTACTATTAATTGATATGATAACAATTTTGATATACAAATAAATAAGAGCCTTTCTAAATAATATCAAGCAACACTAAAAAAAATGTTTTTGTTGTTATTTTTCTAAAAAAAAATTCAAATTTTTTCTAGTTTCGATTTAAAATATTGTTAAAATATTCAATTATATATTAATATTTTCTCAGGTTTTATAGGATAAATTTATATAACTGTAAAAAGCTTAAAAAGAAAAAAATAACAATGTCTCCTCTGTTTGATTCGCAGCTGCCGGGTTTCTTAACCAGCAAAGAGCTTACGAGCTCGGCAAATCCCACCGGACGATCGCCGGAATCAGCTAATCTCCACACTTGTAGCATCCGCGTTTTCAACTCCAGCAGCATGAGCCGCCTCCTTTACTGGCTTCAACTCTTCTCCGCCACCGCGTGCGTCGTCCTCTCCTCAATGCGCCTCGCCCAACAAAACTACGGCGATATCGCCGGCGCCGACGAATCAACAAAACAAAATCGCCGGCCAGCTCTCAACATCTTCTATGGCCTCTCCCTTGCCGAAGCCCTCCTCTTCCTCGCCGAGCGAGCATACTTGGAGTGGAATCTCAGCCGCTGCCTCCTTCTCGAGCAAGTTAGCCGCGAGTCCGGCCTCGGACCCACCGGACTGATCTCTGTTCGCCGCTTCTTCTACGACGCCTATTCCCGGTGCATAAATGGGAGTATTTTCGACGGGATGAAGATGGATATGGTGAGCTT